TAATACTTCAGCTGCATCAAAATGCGTCTTCGCATATCATTCATCCATTTTCGTTAAAATCGTAAATCATATCGATAAACAATCTTAAAGATCAACTAACTACTCCGTAAATAAGCCAGTGTATGAATGAACAAGCTTACGCCCACAACTGATGGCACCGAATTATCTTTATCTTTGCTTTTGTTGATTGCGGGTGGATGGGTAATATCAAGACCTATGATGAGCCTTCCTGGATCCATTATAGACTTCTGGGCTCTGGAAATATTTATTAAGAAACTAATTAAACAGGGTTATTGCAATCAGTCTGGAACAATTCTTCTCATTTGTATCCATGAAACGGATCAATCAGCACAGTCTTCACCTTCCCTTGTATTCATTACACCTGCTTGAAATCATGCCAGATTTCCCATCCGCACAAGAACAGTCCCATTATACGTGACTGTTGATGATAGTAGACCGGTTCAAAAAAGTAGATGCAAGCAGAAGTAACACTGCTAACCTCTCACTTTCGAGACGTAAATCAAAATTCATACCGCCCAGTTTTAAATTCGTTTTATTGACAATATTGTCAAGAGTTTGCCATTTTTTTGGCGCACTCAGTGCGGTGCTCGTTTTCACGTCTTGTGTTACAATCTGCTCAGTGGCCTCGACCAACTTCATACGCTCTGTAAATAAGTTGATCTACTGAGTACATCACACTCTCAATTCCTTACCCTCACTTTATAAATGCTTTGGCATGATGCAGAAATATTCATATCCTCATTAGATTAACATTTTTTAACGGCGAACATTATCTTCGAGAAGGAGGCGAGAACGATTAACATGGAGGACGATTTTCCCGACCTTGAGAAAAAAATCGCGATATTTCTCCTACTGTCTCTAAGACAATAAATAAATATTGTCGCCTCTAGAAGAGCGTGGATTGTTTTGGTCGGTATTCTAGCCTTACAAAAGACTAGCTGAAAGGTGTATAAATCCTGAAAGTTCATTAAAAATCTTTGCAATATACATTCAGTGATGCGACAAGCAAACAAACCATGCAACGATAGTCTATCACTGCTGATAAAATGGATGAATTTAGCGCCCATTTGTTTCGCTTTCTTTACGCAGCTCTCAACGTTGTTCTCCTTGGCACCACGAATATAATTCTGTTCAATTGGATCA